GAACTGCAACACTACCCCCCAAAAAAGTACTTCTATAACATAGTGTGCCAAGTGCACATATATACGTAAAGAAACAATGTTTAAAAACTACCAAAACGTTTACAGTGGATTTAGATGTTTGAAAAGTTGATGTCATATGCAACATGCAGGACATAAAGCCTGGACTGAGTAACCGTCACTATCAATAGCCAAAGTAATTCTCTGACAACTTTTGGAATAAAAGAAATAGATAATATTTTGATATATAAAGTAGTACTACTGATAAACTAGTGACAAATACTTCTGATAAAGATTATGAAATCATGTAATAAACTACCATGCAGATTCCTTTTCCCATGAATATGCCAAAGGAAAGAGCAGGACTCAGCAATTAGTGGTGTGACCTCAATTTCACCATTCCAAGTTCTAAATGTACACAAAATTCACATAACAGGGGATACACAGCTGTACAAGACCAAACATGCACCACTTCACATAATCTTCAGCCCATAAAAAATATATTTGAAGTCAGCTGACCAAATCCTTACCAGGATCAGAAATGTTTCCTGCCACAGCTTTAGCATCCATTACCATTGGCGATATAGTTTTGCTTAGCTCATCAGAGGCTGCTTTAACAGCCTCACGGAATTTAGGGTCTTCTGAATTTTCAACCTCCCGTTTTGCTACCAGTAGGATGCGGTTTGCTCGTCTAGCAATGCTGGTGGCACCAGCTACCAGCATCTGAGGTTGAATATTTGCCATCGCAACTTTACATTTATCAAGGTCTTTCTTAATAGCCTCTTCTGATGCATCCAACAAAGATTTAGTATCGATGGCTTCATCCACCAACCCTGGAATCAAAGTTAAACACATTAATATTCTAGTTTCATATTAGTATTTGATATTTGGTATTCCAGAGACTGTTCACAACCAGAAAAGTAAGTATCTCCAAACTAGGGGGTGAGGAGGGACAGAATGGGGCATGGAAATCAGACCTATTGTATTACTGCAGTTTTACTTCTGATTATGTGGTATCTGTCACAGTAACCGTGGTCAGGCTTGCTCCCACTAATGGCATCCCAAGCTCTCACTCATCTACCATGGAACACTGCTTGAGGCAAGAACTGGCTACACAGTATTTGCAGCAGAGCTTCCTTCCCTCCACCAGCTTTCTTTAAGCATATCCAGTACTTTTTGTACCTCTCCCATTCATTCAAAAGGAAATATCCCTCTGGCTGTGCTTTTACTCAAGGATGATACATAGTGACAAGGCAGTAAGACTTAAAATAGCCACAATTTAGTTGCAGAGATAAAGAAGGAGGTAGCATTCAGTCAGAAGATTAACTGGCCAGTACAAAGGATCTGCACTTTGGAAAGACTGAACCATTTAAGTATCTCAGCAAGATTCAGTATATCAGTAGCTTTGTTTTAGTCACTATTTTCATCAAGCTGTTACGTAATTTAAAACGCATTTTCTTGCCCCTACTTAATTATTTGTCCTCATTCAGCATGCCAAGATTATGTAGGAAAGAACCCCCAAGTTGCTACAGTGACACATTGCTAGAATACCAGTCACAATAAAAACAAATGGCATTCTGGTTTTCCCACAAAAAAACTAAACACTAATCTGCTTCCTTGCAGCTCAAAATTAAAAGCTATGAAGCAAGGTATTTTGTTTATGCTGTAACATATACCTATTTCTGGAGTCAGAGCACATTCCCTTTTCTGTTAATTTATTTTTAATGAGTCACTAACTCTTATGCATGTTTCATTAATCCAAATACAACGGGGAAAAAAATCTATAGCAGCTAGTTAGCCGCAAGTACAATCTTCAGCAAAAATTCCTTCGTTACCTGTCATTTTTTCTACATTATCAATCCATTGGTTTTTCATGGTTTCAAAATGTTCGTAAGCAGCTTGATTTCCAGGATTTCTCAGGAGGATACGAGCAGCTGATACCACCTGCCAATGGAAAACAGTTTTAATTATGAAAGTAGCAGTATGTCACGACTACACACATATTCGTGAAAATACACTTGTTTTTCAGGTCCAGATGAGGAGCTCCTCATTTTGAATACTAGTTCATTAATTCTAGTTCAACACCTAGTTGCTTGAGGATTTACAATGCTTCTGGAATTTGTTGACACAAATACTTTTTTTCTGGAACTTAAATGACATGCTTATGTACCAAAAAGTGTTTATCATTTTAAAGCACTTCTTGAAAGCACCAAAGTATGTTCACTAAAGAGCATTTTTTTCCACTTACATGTTTTACTAAGCCTCCAAGTAATTCTGTTCCAAGAATAAGTCACTAACGCTTCTGTCCAAAAGTTGAAGAGTAAGTCATGTCATTTAACCAGTTTGGTATCATATACACCAATATTTGCCATTCTCCTTTTAAGTGTCAGCACTGCGTCCCTTACTGGCATTAACGTCTTTCTCTGATAGCAGAGGCCACAGAAGTTGCCCCCAGTCCTTTAGTAGCCCTTCGAGAGTAAGGAAGCAAACCTGTGGGGTAAGTTCCCTTGCTGATTTCACTGTTGCTTGAATGCCCTCCACAGTGGTTTTATTCGCAGTCCCAACTGCAGCTGCTTTTTCTGCTGTAGCTCCCAGTCTAGCAGCATGGTTTTCAAAGTTTGCCGCTCTTTCATCAAACACCTGGTTGTCAGAAGAGACACACATTTAAAACGCCTAACTTCCCTAAAGAATACATCATTTCTTCAAAGTGTCACATAGCAGAGGCACCTTCACAAACATTCATACTTAATGTGTTCCCTGAGAAGGTGCAACAGGACACAAAAAGCTTTGAAGCTACTTCATTTTTTTAATCTTTACACTATCGGACTTTCTTCTTTACTGACTCATCTGGGGCTCAAAGGACACTACCACACTTAAGCTTCAAGGTATTAAGTACACTAATTCCTGATGACTACTGCTGTAATAAATACTGTCTTAAAGCTATTTTACCTCATAGACATTAATCTTCAAGCCCATAATCCAAAAGTAACTATATTTGCAAGATAAATATCAAGGCTTACCCTAAAGGCTTTACATTGGAAAAAGAAAAAGTCCCTCCTTCCACAGTCCTTAGTTATTCAAGGTACAAAATAGTTTGACAAAAGGCTATCCTGTCATAAAGCTAAATTCCCCAAGGCCTTGGGAATCATTTTGATGATGTTTAAATCAACCAGCCAGCGCTGCCAGCCACAGTTTTAGATAGTTCACATGCAGCCAGTAGCTTTGAAGTACAGGAAACATTATACAGCAAGAGAACAGGTTAAATCCGTTGATCAATCTTGGCAAGAATTTGACTATTTTAATCAGCTTATATAATGTTGAGCTACACAATCCACTAATTAGCATGTCAGTGATTTTTTTCACAAGAATTTTTAGCATGCTGAAGGCAACACTGTACAACCACCACACGGAGAAATCTTCGCCATTTACTGAAGTCAGGGACAATACAGTTTCCAGGCATATACAGCACAATTTGAAGTCTCCACAAGTCCAGAGAAACTTACATGACAATCATTATGCTGTCAGAATTAATAAGCATGTATTGCAAGCTTGAGAGAAAAATATTGATTCATTTTTCAAAATAAATTCAGGTAAAATTAAGCAATAACTGAAGCTTCACATGGGAAAAAGACCGCCTGGGTATACTTGCCTCATCTCTATTGGGAGCATCAGAAGGAGCAGTGGCTGCTACTGCTAGCAGTTTAATAGGAGTTGTGGTGTCACTAAAAACATCGGAAACCTCTTGGGTCATTGCCTCTTGCATTCGTGTTTTAAGATCCTTTAAAAAAAAAAAAGAGGAAAACTATTAGCACATGACATAGGAATATTAAGTTCGTAGGGATTCAAATCCCTAAAACCTCTTCTTGCAATAAAAAAAAAGAAAAGAAAAAGCCCATTACAATGATAGCCATTAAGATAAAATGATCAATGGATCATTTTTTACATAATTTAAAATACCAGAAGCTTACATATGACTCCTTGAAGCAACATCAGAAGCTATGAACAGCACGATTTGAGACCTTGCTCCTCAAATTTGCAGTGTTAAGTGTACTATTTTCTTTTAAAATGAGGCTTTAGTTTTTACTTCTAAATTGTTCAATTCGAGTTAAAATGATCAATGGATCATTTTTTACATAATTTAAAATACCAGAAGCTTACATATGACTCCTTGAAGCAACATCAGAAGCTATGAACAGCACGATTTGAGACCTTGCCCCTCAAATTTGCAGTGTTAAAATGAGGCTTTAGTTTTTACTTCTAAATTGTTCAATTCGAGTTGATCCCTACAGCATGATTTCAAGGACTTTCTAGAAAGTTTGCTTTAAGCATCTCAGCTAAACCAACTGGGTTTTTGGTTGCACTTTTGGTTTTATCGATGCCTCCCACACACAAGCACTTTATCAGAGGAGTGCAAATACTTCAGCATACCGTGCATTTCACTGCACGAGAGGTTTGTACCTTCAGTGACTCCTGAAGCTGAGCAGCAATTGCCCTGGCCTGAGGAGACTCTCCCTCCCCTCTTGCTGCCAGGTCAGCAAGCTGAGCAGCCAGCTGGTCCACACGGTCACATTTGGCAAGCAGGTCCTGGCGATAAGGTCCAATCATGACATTGGCTAAACGACGACCTTCTGCAACCAGGCCCCGAATTGCTGCCTGGCCTGCAGTGGAAGAAGTCACATTGCATTAACATACAACGGAACAAAAAAATTAAAGCATAAATCAAGCCTGGACAAGTTCACCCTCTCTTGGGTGG